GACGCGGGGAGCCCCGCGTGAGCCCCCAGGGCGGGAGGTGGAGACGCGGGGAGCCCCGCGTGAGCCCCCAGGGCGGCAGGTGGAGACGCGGGGAGTACCGCGTGAGCCCCCAGGGCGGCAGGTGGAGACGCGGGGAGCCCCGCGTGAGCCCCCAGGGCGGCAGGTGGAGGCGCGGGGAGCCCCGCGTGAGCCCCCAGGGCGGCAGGTGGAGGCGCGGGGAGCCCCGCGTGAGCCCCCAGGGCGGGAGGCGGAGACGCAGCGTGTGCAATGCCGGAAGGGTCCTCCCTGCAGGAAGGCCTCGGGTTCTCCACGCCTGGGGGGGAGGGGCGAGGAGGAGGAAGGGGGGGAGCGGAGCGGTGTCCTTACGGGGCTGCAGGGCCATGTCAGTGACCTGTCCACGTCCTCACCCCAGAGCCTCATGCGGAAACAGGATCTTTCCAGATATAATTAAGCGAAGGATCTCGAGATGAGACCACTCTGAATGAACTACGGAGAGCCCTAAACCCAGCGATAGGCGTCCCCGTGGGAGACGGCAGAGGGGACGCAGACGCGGAGGACAAGCCACGTGGAGGCAGACGGAGGAGGCAGAGGCGGGAGTGAGGCTGCGGCCACAAGCCCAGGGACGCCCGGAGCCCCCGGGAGCCGGGGCAGATGGCCATCCTGGTCAGGGAGGGCCTAAAACACCAGTGACGAGGTGTCCTCCTAGAGGGTCAGCAGGGCCGGGCGCGGTGGCTCACGCCTGTCATCCTAGACTCTGGGAGAGCTTAGAGAGGGGGAGATCGGCTCCAGGTCAGGAGTTCGAAACAGCCTGAGCAAGGAGCGAGACCGCCCGTCTCTACTATAATATAGAAGAAATTAAGTGGCAACTAGAAATATATGTAGAAAAGATTAGTCGGGCTGGTGGCACGTGACTTAGTCCCAGCTACTCGGGAGGCTGGAACAGAGGAGATCGCTTGAGCCCAGGAAGTTGGAGGTTCTGTGAGCGATGGCTGACGCCACGGCACTCACTCTAGCCTGGGGCGACAGAGCGGAGACTCTGTCTCGAGAAGGAGAGAGAGAGAGATGGTTCTGGAAGGGCCGGGGAAGGCAGCCCCCACGTGGGCAGGAAGGGCGAACAGAGCTCAGCAAGGGCTGAAGCCGGGGTCACTGGGGGGTCCCCAAGCGGGTCAGGGCTGCCGGTGGGGGTCTGGGAGCTGGTGGCCAGGGCGGTGACACCTGGGGGTGGGAGGTGGTGGGGTCAGGGCCTGAACAGGACACGCCGGCTCCCACGCACCCTGCACACGGCGCTTCTGGGGTGAACGACGGGGCAGAGGAGGAGGAGGGGGGCAGAGGAAAGGGCCCGAGACGCCAGGCGGGCTCTGAAGTTAAGCAACCGTGTGGCAGCGTCCCAGGTCTGGGCAAGGGTGTCGGGCCGCAGGGCGCAGGGCATGGTGTCCAGGCGGTGGCACCAGGCTGGCTGTCGGGTCCCCAGGACAGCCTGTGCGTCCCCTTGTGTGTGTGCCCTCAGCCTGCCTTCCTCCCGCCGCCGCCTGTGGGGGTGAACGGTGTCCCCCAAATGCGTGTGCACAGGGCTTTATGTGGAAGAGGGTCTTTGCAGGTATAATCAGAGAAGGATCT